AAATCCTGGTCGTTCAGTTTCGTCTCACGTCCAGGTTTCCTAAAAAAAAAGGGAACGTTAATTAGTATATTTCCTTAAGTAAAAATAAAAAAAACAAAAAAAAGAAATAAACTTACTATAGTTCGTTCTTTTTTTAAATCCTGGTTATTCAGCTTCGTCTCACGTCCAGGTTTCCTAAAAAAAAAGAAATGTTAATTACGTCCCCTTAAGTAAAAATAAAAAAAGTAAAAATAAAAGAAACGAACTTACCATAGTTTGTTCTTTTAAATTCTGGTCGTTCAGTTTCTTCGTCTCATGTCCAGGTTTTCTAAAAAAAAAGAAAGGGAACGTTAATTATGTTCCCTTAAGTAAAAAAGATAAAATAAAAATAAAAGAAACGAACTTACCATAGTTCATTCTTTTAAATTCTGGTCGTTCCTTTATTTTATGTCCAGGTTTCCTAAAAAAAAAGAAAGGGAACGTTAATTACGTTCCCTTAAATAAAAAATAAAAAAACTTAAAAAAAAGGAACAAACTTACCATAGTTCATTCATTTTTTTTAAATCCTGGTTGTGTCGTTAGGCTTCGTTCGTCTAGACTTCCTACTAAAAAAAAAGAAACCGTTAATTACGTTCCTTCAAGTAAAAATAACAAAAAAAAAATGAACTTACCTAGTTTATTCTTTTAAATCTTGATCGTCCAGCTTCATCCGTTCGTTCAAAAAAAGGTTTTTTAAAAAAAATTTGATCCGAATCTGTTCAGATCAGATCAGATCTTCTTGTGTTATGATTTGATCTGATCTGAAATTGATCAGATCAGATTTTTTTAAATCTGATCTGGTTTACAGATCAGAATTTTGAAAACTGAACTGAATCTGACTCAGATCAAATCTGCGGATTCAGATCAGATCAGATTTTTTTGGAGCACTAGTTGTAATACTATTTATATATTAGAAAATGAAAACTATAATATCTAGAAAATAGTAATTTATCGCTATAGCGAAATTTCGCTAGTCTGATATATCATGTGACTTTATATAGCTAATTAAACTATCAATAAACTAGTCTGACTAATCATTTAATCATTTGCACGTGATTTTTTTTTTGAATGATATCAATCTGATCAAAAAATTTCTTTCTCACGCTCTCTTATTTTTTTTCTTTATACTCTTTTATAATTCCAAAAATCGTCACTCTTTTTTTACCTATACCCGAAATATCATGAATGAAGAAATATTGGAACCTATAGTTAATGAAGGTAAGAAAACATGGAAAATGTCATTATAATTAGGGTATGGAATTAGGGTACAGAATTAGGGTTAGGGTTAAGGTATGGAATTAGGGTTAGGGTTAGGGTTAGGGTATGGGATTAGGGTTAGGGTTAGGGTTAGGGTATGGGATTAGGGTATGGGATTAGGGTATGGGATTAGAGTACAAATTTATTAGTTACTAAAGTTTACTTTTTTTCAGACGAGTCAAATTTACTTAATAATGATGAACACACTTCCTTATATTCTGGAAAAAAATTTCATACATTGGAAGAGTGTGAAAATTTTCTTGATAAATGGTCAAAACAACAAGGATTCCACTTAATTAAGGATCGTGTAACTCGCGAAGCTGGTGTTGTTCGTCGAAGAACACTTATTTGTGCTCACAGCCGCACTTATGAACCACATTCCACTAAAGATACTACTACGAAAAAGTTAAACTGTCCATTTTTCGTTAATATTTCTTATCCAAAAAGCAGGAATCCAAATGGTTTTGTATTTGTTAATAAAATTAATGAGCACCATAATCATCCATTAAATCAAGCAATGATTGAATTTGAGGATAGGAAAAAATTTACTCCAGAAATGATGGATGATATTAAATTCATGACAATACACTGCAAATTTGGTGCTACGTCTCAAAGAAAATTTCTTGAAGGCAAATTTCCATTACATCCAATTTATTCAAAAGATTTATATGCTGCTATTAATAAATTTCGTCCAACTAGTAAGTCTTTGTCAAATGATGCAGCACAAATTTCAAATTGGCTTGATCTTAAAAAAGAAATGGATTCTATATGGATAGTAATTCGAGGATGGGACAATGATAATACATTAACCTATTTATTCTGGATGACTCCAAGCCAAGTTGAAAATTGGACACGCTATTCAGATTGTGTTATTAACGATGTTACTCATAAAACTAACTGACATGGCATGGCACTATCATTATTTGTTGGATTTGATAATGATCGTCATAATATTTTGCTTGCACAAGCTTTATTAATAGATGAAAGCCTTGACTCTCATGTGTGGATGTTTTCTCAATTAAAAAAATCAACGGGTGTGCAACCACTCATTATAATTACTGATTCAGATCCAGCTGTTGATGCAGCAATTCGTCAGATTTTTCCTTTAACGTATCCTATTCATTGTGCATATCACATTACTCAAAATTTACATAAGAATTTAAGAAAATTAATAAATGAAGATTATGAAAACTTTCTTACTGCATTTTATAGTTGTCGTAATAGTATAGCTGAAGAAGTTTTCCAAATCAAATTTGATTACCTCATACGTGATTACCCTAGTGCTAAACCTTATCTGGAATTTCTTTATAGAACAAAAACTTACTGGGCTCATTGTTTTACTAAATTTAAATTTACAGGAGGAATGATAGCTAGTTCAAGAGTAGAATCCGTAAATGCCTGTTTGAAACGTTTATTACACAATTCCAATGTTCCATTATGTGATCTTATGACTGAAATTCAAAGACTTTTGGATATGCAGGATAAAGAGAACGAATATAATTACTGGCGTCTTTCAATTCATTGTTTACGAAATCAAACCAATACAAACTTTTTATTTACTAGAGTTGATCAATGTCTTAATCAATTTTTAACACCTACAATATTGAAAGTACATCATGATGAAATGAGACAATCATTATATTATACGAGGACCCCGGATATCTAATATAAAGGTCATAATGGACTTTTGGTCAAAAACACCCTTTTTGCTAAAACTCAAAAAATCGTTTTTTGTAAATATCTTAGCATCCAGTAATTCAATTTTAATGAACATTTTTTTATTTTGTAGCCCTCATTTAGCTCTACAATTTAAAAAAAAGTTCATCAAAATTGGACCACTGGATGCCGAGATATTTACAAAAAACGATTTTTTGAGCCCCTGAAAAATGGGCCAATCTGTCGAAAGTGTGACTTATGACCTGTTTTGGAGATATCCGGGGTCCTATTATACGGCAAACCTTGTTGAAGATATTAGAATAGATCAGATAGATGAGTTAGCAGAAATATCTGAATTAACTGATAAGAATTCAAATAAAATTTCCGAAATTGATCTTCTGCAAGCTACTTTGAAACAAATTATTCAATTTGTTGGATCTCATAACGTTAAAGAAATATGGGCAATTAATGTTGGAAATTCATTAAAAATTAAACATTATGTTTTGTTATTACAAAACGGAAACTACATCTGTTCTTGTCTTTCAATCATACAAACTGGTATTATATGCAGACATTACTTTCAAGTAATGTTAAATACAAAAAATGCAGTATTTCATATTCAGTTTATTCCATCACGATGGTATAATATAGGCAAAAATGGTCTGCAAGAACCGTTCTTAATTGCTGATAAATTTATGCAAGAAGATCAATATATTACATATGATAGTAAGGCAAATTTATGTTTATTTAACCAATATAATAATGAATTTTATGAAGAAAGATTGACAGTTCTTGATCAGCAAATTATTTATGGTAAACTACATGGCATGTATAAGAAAGCTTTGAATAAGGCATTAAAAAATAGTTCAAAATCTGAAGAACTTATCAACTTACTACAAGAGTTTGCAGAGGATGAAGATGATAGTCAAATGGATCAAATATTTGAAGAAGATATAAGCGATAAAAAGAATGAGGAAAATGTTGAATCTTCAGTACCAATATTACAAAATCCAAGGAAAAAATGTGGTAAAGGACGACCAGTTGGTACAAAAAGATTCAAGTCATCTTGTGAAGTTTCTAGAACTAAAACAAAAATGCAACGTTATTGCAAACAATGCGGGAAAGTTAGACATTACCAAAAAAATTGCAAGGTATATTTATGATTTTTTTTTTGTTTTCGTTCATTATCGTTATTCTTATATTGAGATTTTGCACTATATTAATGTTAACAGGAAAAAACAACCAAGTAACTTTTAATATTATGCTTTATTATTTGTTTAATGTAATGTTTCTCAATGTAACAATTAATATTTAATAAATATTTTAAATGCTAAATGCTTCAAATTGTTTGAAATAAATTTTACGAAAAGTCATGTGATATAAAATTTCACGTGATATTAGGTACTGGCGATATTTCGCCATTGCGATAAAAAACAAAATCCTAATATCTATTTGTTTTGTATTTTTATTTATATATTTACATATCATAAATTTATTAATCTTTCTCTAAAATCTTATAATTATTAGTTTTTTTAAGATTTTACTATAATTTTATTATAGTTTTAGTAAAGTTTTAGCAGTTTTAGCATTTATAATAAGTTTATCAGATTTTGCTTTTCAAAATTTTGCAAAGTTTAATTTTATTATTTTAGCATTTTACTAACTTACTAAAACTTTTTAGTTTTTTTAACAACCTTACTATATAATGTATGTAAATAAATGGACTTTATCATATAATCCAATATATAATTAATATTTATAAATATATATAATTCTTTAAATTATACTAATAATCTGGGTTTTGTGATCACCTGACATAGAAGATAGGTCCTTAGGGCTAAGATGACATATTACAAACGTAGTCTACCTACGGAGTTTAACAATTACTCAACAGTGCACACGTGAGGTACATCAGGAAATTTTTTAAGGAGCAGATCTGCGCAGATTTTCAGAAATTATTTCTGCGCAGATCTTCAATACTGCAAAAAAAAAATTTTTATGATTTCTACGCAGAACTTCAAGAAAATAAAGTTCTGCGACAATCTTCAAAAATTAAATCTGCGAATTAATTTAAAATAATTAGTAGTACAAATAATACTTCAATTTTATAATACTTCAATTTAACTAATATCAATTAATTTACTTAATTTATTTAATTTAGATATATTTACAAGTAATACTATTTATTAGTAAATAAAGCTAATTTATTCTTTTCTCTACTATATGTTGTTAATGGTTTGAATATTGTTCCAGTTGGTTTGATTCCAACAAATAACTATTTAAATTTGCATTTAAGAAGTGCTTAGGAACTTGTAGACCTACAAAAAGTAGAAAAGTAAAACCGTTCAGTTAGTTAGTAATGTTTCGTTAAGAAAAAAAACAAAATTTTAAAGAACTTTAAAGAATACCTTTAAAGTTCCCTTTAGATATCATCCAAGAAGTCACGGACCTACAAAAAGAAAATACGTTAATAAAATTTCATTAAAAAAACAAAATAATAATTGAAGTTTCAAAACTTACTATTCCAAAAGTTCTAACCGATACCTCTGAGAAGTCGCAGACCTATAAAAAAAGTTAGTAAAGTTTCATTAAAAAAAACAAAAAAATTAAAAAACTTCAAAAAATACCTTCGAAGTTCTCATCCAAGAAGTCTTCTCCTGCTCTTGCATCAGCTCCAGCTTCAGCTCCAGCTCCTGCTGAAGCACCAACTCCCACTGAAGCCTAGGCTCCCACTGAAAACTAGTACTGAATGATGATAAAAAATTGATTTCTGTAACCAGATCAAGCAGAAGATGAGGCTGTACTCAAACCTACAAAGAAGTTCTTATCCAAGAAGTCATGGACCTAAAAAAATGAAACGTTAATTAATAACTTTTTGTTAAATAAAAAAAAAATAAATTAAAAGAATTTCAAAAAATACCTTCGAAGTTCTGTCCAAAGAGCTTTCCAGGAACCCGTAAATTTACAATAATAAAAGAACAAAAACGTTAGCAAACGTTTCGTTAAAAAAAATTAAAAGAACTTCAAAGAATACCTTCGAAGTTCTTTCCAGAAACTTTTCTATAAAGCAGTGTTGACCAATTTTATAAATCCAGTTATTTTGACTGGAAGCTGCAAAACTACAAAAAGAAAGTCAAAATGTTAGTAAACATTTCATTGGAAAATAAAAAAAAAAGAAAAAATTTTGAAGTTTTACTTCAAAATTGTTAAATTGTTGGAGATTGGGGCTTATCTTTCGGTTTCCTGTACTTACAAAAGAAAATAAATAAAGTTAGCTAAGTGTTTTATTTTCATTTAAAGAAAATAATTTTGAAGGTTACCTTCAAAATTTTACTTTTGAAATTCCTTCCAGGAAAGCTGCGGACCTACAAAAAGAAAGAAACGAAAATGTTAACAAACATTTCGTTAAAAAAAAATAAAATAAAAAATTTGAAATTTACCTTCGAATTGGGATTCCAGTCAAATTTTCGTACCTAAAAAATAATAAATAAAATAAGAAACAATAAAAATAAAAAACAATAAAATTTCAGTTTTTTTTACCTTCGAAATGGAAATCTGGAAGATTAAGGCAGATATCCATCCACGATATGAATTGCAGATAAACGGATTGAAACACTAAGTCCAGGAACTGAAGAATTCAGAGAAAAAGAATGAAATTAGCAGAAGGAAAAAAGATAAAACGAAAAAGAGAAATAAAAATAAAAAAAAACTCACCTGTCATCTCCAAAGTTCAAACCCAAAGAACTTAAAAAAAATGAACGAGATTAGCAGAAGGAAATAAGATAAAATGAAAAAAATAAATAAAAATAAAAAAATACAACCCATCCGTTGTCTTCAAAGTCCAGGAATCAAAGAACCTAAAAAAAATAAACGAAATTAGAAGAATAAAGCAAGACAAATTGAAAAAGAAAGAATAAAAATTAAAAAAACCCCACCTGTTGTCTCCAAAGTCCGAGAACCAAAGAACTAAAGAAAAAAAATGAAATTAACAGAAGGAAACAAGACAAAATAATAAAAAGAAAATAAAAATAAAAAAAAACTCACCCTTCGTCTCCAAAGTTAAAAACTGAAGAACCTAAAGAAGAAGAAAAACGAAATTAGCAAAAACAATAAGAATGAAATAATAACAAAACAAAAGAAAAAGAATTAAAAAAAAGTCCCCTACCAGTTATCTCTAAAGTTCAGAACTAAAGGACCTAAAGAAAAAAAGGATTATCTCCAGAGTCCAGAACTAAAAGCTCGGATGATCTGGATAAGATGAAATCCTTCAATCCTTTTCATCTGATCCATTTACAAAAATTTTATCTGGATAACCATAAACACTACCAGGACCTAAAAAAGAAATGATGAACATTAGTAACGTTCATTATATAAAAAATTTAAAAATAAAAATTCAAAGGTTTTTACCTTCAAAATAAGAGTCCAGAGCTGTTATTCGGCATTCAGGACCTAAAAATTTGATAAAACGAACGTTAATAACGTTTGTTAAATAAATAATTGTTATTTTTTTAAAAAAAATAAATTAAAGATTCAGAAGTTAATACTTAATATACTTCTGAATTCCAAAATCATCGATAGGTTCCATCCAGAACCTATATAATATAAAAAAAAATTTTTTTTTTCCAACTAAAATCATCGATAGGTTCCATCCAGAACTTATATAATATAATAAAAAATATTTTTTTTTAAAAAAAATAAATTAAGATTCAAAGGTAAACATACCTCTGAATTCCAATATCTTTGATAGGTTTTATCCAGAACCTATATAATGTAAAAAAAAATTTATTTTTTTTTTAAAAAAAATTAATTAAGATTCGAAGGTAAGCATACCTCTGAATTCCAAAATCTTTGATAGGTTCCATCTGGAACCTATAATATATAAAAAAATTTTTTTTTCTCTAAAAAAAATTAAAGTTTCAGAGATGATATACCTCTGAATTAAAATTGACAACATATTATGTTCTTACAAACTGAACGTTACTTAACTGACATTCATCAAAGAAGAAAAAAAAGGAATATGACTCCTTTTTTAGTTCTGATTTTTCTGCATGTTGCAGAATGTTGCCTTAAAGACTCCGAACCTTGCAAATAAATTTTTTTTAAAAAAAAAATTCTCTGATAAGCTTCAAAGCTTAAAAAATAATAGAAATATTTTTTCTTTGGAATCTTTAACAGATTATTTCTTAAAAGTTGTTGTAGAAAAAATTATTTTATAAAGTTTTTTTAATAAAAAGGGTTGTAGAAAAAATTATTTCTCTATAAGTCTTGTAAAAATTTTTTCTTTAAAGAGTGTTGTAAAAAAAATTATTTAAAAAAGTTTAGGTATTAAATCAAGTTAGAGTTAATCAATTAAATCAAGTTAAAATTAATCAAACTGAAATTTAGTATAGAGTTAATTAAAATGATGAAATTGCAAATCGAACTGATATTTTAATGAAAAAAAAAGTAAAAATCTGCAAAATCGCAGACTTCTGCATAAATTCACATAAAAAAAAAAGCAGAAATCTGCAAAATCACAGACTTCCGCAGAAATGCATATATAAAAAATCAGAAATATGCAAAATTGCAGATTATTGCATAATTTTGTAAAAAATAAAAAGTGGAAATCTGCAAAATTGCAGACTTCCGCATAANATGCAAAGATCTGCTAATTTTACAGATCTCTGCAGTTCTGCATCTTAAAAAATTTCCTGATATACTTTACGTATGATGAGTGGTTTGTAGTTTAATTATAATAAAGTAGTTTTTAGAATAATACTTTATATTTATATTCTTTTTATTTATCTACTTTAATAAAATTGCAAATGCATTGCGATTAAAAAAAAAAAATTATACTAATAATTCAATATATTATTTAACATAATAAAATTGAGGTTTACCAGAAGAAGGGAAAGGAATTTAATAAAAAAAAATGTTCATAATTATTGTTAATTTTAGCCTGAATTAAATATTATAATTTATTAATTAAATATTTAAAAAATTATGGTCTAATTAGGAAATTTCTTTTTGAAAAAATCCTTTAAAAATTAAAAAAAGGGAAAAATTATATTAAACAAAGTATTGAATTTGAATAGTCTTACTTTATTTTGAATAATAATTTTTAATATATTAAATATTTTATAATCTAATTATATTCCTTTATTATATTATTTTTATATATTTAACAAATGTTCTTAATTTACTATTCTTAAATCTATTATTTATATACAATAAATTACTGGATTCTATAAAATTTATTTAGTAATATATAGTAAATTGAATATTTTCATGTTGTTTAAAAGTTTATGAATTTTCAATAAATCTAGCCAATTTTTTTTTTATTTGATAGCCAACCATTTCTAGTTTTTATGTATTAAAACAAAAAAGTAAAATTTTTAAAGTGTAAAAAAATTCTCTTATTGCAAAGTATAAGTAATGATCTTTCTATATGTTTTTTCTCATTTTACATATAAAATTATCTTGTCTGTTACTTTATAAATAAATCATTTTCTGCATTCTTAAAATTGGATATTTCTGATCATATTTTTATAACTATAATCGATTGGCTTTCAAATAAAAAATTTTTTGACTGACTTTATTAAAAATTTATAAACTTTCATGCAACCTAAAAATCTTCAATTTTACTATATATTACTAAGTAAATTTTATAAAATCTGGTAATTTACTGTAGTTTAGTGTATATAATTCTGAAATTAAGTAATTTCTGAAAATAAGTAATCTTCCAATTATTATAGTTCTAAAAATAAGTAACTCACAAACTTTTATAATAAAAATAATAAATAATATAATAGCTAAAATCACTTAATACTTCAAAATAATAGACAGTATTATAAACATTAATTATATAAATTATTCCAATTTCTAATGGTACTATTATATCTTTCTTTTTTTGTGGTATATTTGTATAGTAAGTTTTAATTAAAACATGAAAAACAAAAATGCGTAATTAATTTATAAATTACAATATTTATATAGAGAATTTATTTAATTATTTTAATTATTGAAATGCATAGTTTTCTTCAGATTTTTCAGATTTCTATTCTAACTTAAAATTAAATAACTTTATAATAAAAAAAGGTTGTAACTATATAATATTCCAAAATAAACTTATTGGTTCAATTATATTCTCAATTCTAAACTTTTTATCATATTCTTCATATTATCTTAAACTACTCTTTATTCTGATTATTATTTCTTTTCATACTATTTCATTATAAGAGAATGTTATATTTTTAACTATCATTTCTATTTTCTTATCATATTTTCCATTATTTATTATTGCATTTTTATCTTTATTACTATGCTATTTTTCCACAAATCTGTCTTTTCCATTGCTTCATAATATTTCTTGATTAATACACTTTTACATATATAATTACCATTTAGAAATGTAACTAATTTGTTAATATATTGCATATAAGATATCTGAATTTCATATTTTATATAAACTCATATATATTTTACAGTATAATTTTAATTTATATAATAATTTTATATAAAGCTTCTAATAAGATTAAATGTATAAAATTTTTATTAAAACATTAAGTCTGGATTTGAGTTATTTATGTATTTTTTGAAGTTTTATTCCAGAAGGTTTGGTTTCAGTATAAAGTAAATTTCCACATAATATATGGTGACAAAAATAAAAACATATAATCATTTTGCACCAGCAAAATTGTTCATAACTACCTAACTATATTAAAGTGTACTATTTGAATACTATACACAATTTACAATGCTAAATTTTAAATCATATGATAATTCAGTTATATAAAGTACATTCGGATGCATCTAATTATATAAATTCGTTATATTCTGCATGATTAATCAGATCGGTTCTGTAATATTCAAATTAATGCTTTTAAATGGTAGTTTATAAAGAAATAATATTTCTGGATTTGAAAAATATTTACCAAAGGTATTATTAAAGTAAAATGAGTTAGCTAATAATTTACTTTAAATCCTTGTAAAACCCACACAGGATTTGCAGGCATTACGCATCAAGACTAAAAAAGCTAATCCCTATAATTTCGGGTGTAATTAAAGTATCATAAAGTTTATTTCAACACGTACAAATACTATTTTACATAATTTAATTTTTTCTTTTAGCTACTTTATCACTACAAAAATGTTTAAAAAGACCAACAAATCAACGGATAGTGAAGCCCCTTTCTTTTTAACTCTTGATGGAAAACGAGTATCAACATCACCTACATCATCTGAAGATATTACCTTTCCGTTAAACAGTGGGGACGCTCATATAAGTGAAAATGCAGATCCAAAAGCTATTGGAACAAGACTAAAAAAACAACTTGAAGTCATTTCAGGTAATATCGCATTTATTTACTATTAGATTCAGGTGAAATATTAATAATTATTATTTATAGCATTGGTAAAGGACGTACATGAAAAAATAAACAAAAATCCTTTAGATACTAAATTTATTCAGGATTCTCTAAAAGAGATTCTTCGTAGTGTCGAACAATTTATGAATCTACAAAAAGTGGCGCAGAATTTCGAATTATCGGATGAGATAGACGAAATAGGTATAAAAAAAATAACGTTACTTAGGAAATCAGTGGAATATTAGGAATATTGTAATTATTTTTATTTTTAGGCGTTGGATTATGGAACTCATCGATTGCGTTGAAAACAATAAGTGATTCACGTGGGACTGACGAATTAATACCATTATGTAATTATTTTACATTGTACCCAATTAAATGATTCATTTGTTAAAACAGTTAAGCTTAATTGAACCAATCTTCACAAGTTCGGCAAGTTGGATTTGCTATGATCCGAGCGGGAGTAAGCGAAGATCCAGAAAAAAAATGTTTGTTAATATTTGATAATTTCATGCATAAAAAAAAAATTTTTAGGACAAAAGATTTATAATTATTCTATAAGCCACAGTAAAATTGCTTGCTTTGGCAAGTAAAGTAGGCAAAGCTTGGTTAGGTATATAATATAATTTTGTAAGTAATTTTCATGTACAATAGTTAATAATTATTGAATTTTCGTTACATAAAATAACAGACTGTGGAAGAAGTGACCAGGCTGATGATGTTTTGCGCTCCGCCAATGAGGTTTTATGTTTAGTTTATAAAATAATTTCAATAATTAAAATTTGTTGATACAAATACATTGAATTACATAGATTGAAGATTCTGTATTATCTTTACAAGATGGAACCGCAAAAGAACAACATTCAAAAGCGGCTGCGTTGTTAGTATACTACGCATATCGTGCCGAAGCGGTTTGTATTTTTCGATTTACTTTGTTCAATATTTTATGCTATACTCAATTTACAATTTACGAACAGGCGTGGAAATTGGCAAATGTTCACGTTGCTAATTTAATGTTTCAGCATGCAACAGGTAACAAAATATTATTCGTATTTTAATTATCATCTCAATAAACTAATTATTTTCTCCTTAACTCCTTTATAAGATAAAAATTACTTAGAATATGTAACTACTAAAGAGGTAATTGGTAATTGGTAATTGCGCTTCTAAATTTTTTCTAAAAAACTTTCATTTAGATTGACATTTTGTGCCAAGTATGTTTTACGGTTGGTAATCAAGCGTCACGTGAAGGAAAAACGAATGATGCAATAAAATGGCTAAGAAAATGCCATGAACTGTTAACTGATGGAACGCCAGTGTCAAATTCTGAAAGAACTAAATTACTTGTATGTATAGAAATAATTTTTAGATTGTTCTATCCTTTATTCTAATATCTTTTTTATTTAGACCAATACCCTAAATATTCTTGGTAAAAGAGTAATAACTCTAATAAATTAAATATACGCAATCGATTCATTTGTATTTCATTTATTTCGTAACAGCGAATTGCTACTTAAAGAACATCGTGTATGATGAATCAAATTTAGACTTGGCTGAAAATGCAGTAAATCTTTGTTTAGAGGTATAATTATTGATTAAAATTATCGTATAATATTATTTTTATTTTACGAGTGTCATTTATAGGAAAATCCCGGTAATGCCTTGGCAACCTTGTTGAAACTCAAGATAATGAAACAAAAGAATTTCATCCCAATCCAATTCGAAGGAGGTTTGTTCGTTAAAGTACATTTTTACCTTATTAATTATTTCTAATAAATGATATTTACTTTTTTAAATAGTATACTTTCCATTTATTAGAAATAGTCAAGTAACCAAAGAAAATTTAAAAATGTGAGTTAATATCTAATTTTGTAATCAATATTACTTTTTTAAATACAATCTAACATTATAAAATTTAGCTTGTTGAATATCACACATTTTATCAGTGAAATCAAGTAAGCTAGTAAAATTATTTGTAAAATCTATCTTTATTTTCTCTAAACAATCGAATATTTTCATTATATAAAGTGTAATGACGGCATTAAGAGGAATAGATATTCTTATTGAAGAAAAACTTGCTGATATGCGAAATGTCTCATACATCGAGAAAGCTATAATAAGTAAATTCCATATGCTTGAAAGTGGTAATTCAATAAATTTGGAGATTAATGATATTATCTGTAGTATTGAAGTGACACTAGGATGTACGTATATTAATATTACTTGAAAAGACTTTGTTATAAAATCTTCATTCTACCTTCATATCTACAGTTGAACAAAGGCACGGTATCGTTATTAGTCATAGGACAAGAATTGCATGTCAACTAGTAAGAATTTTGTAATTATTCCTTCTAGACGCAATAAATTAATTAATTTCATATTAAACAGATTCTTTGGCAAAATGGGGATCGTAATTACTCAGTAAGATTTTTTTAATTTATTTGAACTTTTAATTAAACTTCAAAGTACTTTATTAGTGAATTTGATTATTTATAGAATCAAGATTACGAACGCGCTAAAAAATGGTATTTGATGGCATATAAATGGTTATCCTCAACGAAAAACCGTAATGCCGCAATTTTACAAAGGTATCATTCTCTCAATTTATTGGTTTATTCTTAATCATATAATTACTAAATTCTTAATAATTACAGAAAAATAGCATTATGCTGCCTGGAAGATGATGCCTTATCAGATGCAATTGAAGCAGTTCATAAGGCACAGTTGCACGAAGATAATTCCTCCGCAAATTTTTACATACTTTACCATATCGCTATGGAAAAACGACAAAATGATCAAGGTTGACAAAATTTTCTTTTTTAATTAATTTAATTAATTTAGTGTTAATATACATTTTTCCTAAATGGAATATTTAGCAATTCGATATTTGAGTAATATGTGTAATGGAAATGGATTTAACGGAAACATGCTTGCCATGGCAGCCCATGAAGCGTATAAAAAAGGAAATAAGGAAATTTTAATTGAAACATTGCAAGAAATTTTGAAAAAGCATAAAAATGGTGAAGACATAGCGAATATTAATATTTCCGTATTAATTAGGTGAGTTAAGATTTACTAGTATATGTATATGTAAAATTCATCTCAAATTATTCATTTACTTGTTAGATGTTTGATTCGAATGACTCATAATTCTTTGTCAAGTAATGCAGAAAAGTGAGTTTACTCAAATATTTTCTTTTAGTGAAAAACAAGTAAAACTAAAATATAAAATTTCAGGAATTCGCTGAAAGAATGTATTTGTAATTACTTTGAAATCGGTAATATTTATCTACCTAATAATTATTTTATTTTTTTGTAATTACTGAATTTTGGACTATGTTTAAATAATATAGCATCCACTCTTAATGATACAACGATTAAAGATGTAAATGAAACCGGAATATTTCAGTCAAAGAAAGCACCGTTAAATGACTTTGAATGGTTTTTCAAAACAGGTTAAATTTGACAAACTAAATTTATAAAATTTTGTCAAAGTAAATATTAAAATTATTTCTTGTAGCATGGAATATTGCATTAGGATTCTGTCACCAATCAGATAATGGTAGTGATTTATATGCTGTCAGATTAATTGAGATCTCACATAAGGTATACACGTATTTCTATTATAATATTTAGAAGTTTTGCTAACTTAAAGTTCTTTATCAGTTTCTAAATGAATACCCCGAAGAAACTATAGAACACATAACCCGAAAAAAACTTTGTATATTCTTTTCTCTATGTGGTAAAATATTTTTTTCTCGACAAGAAAAATCAATATCTAAAAAGGTTGATACAATTATCGATTGCTATTTTTCTTACATTTTAAAATACAACTAAATTAAATCATTACATAATTAAACAGAAAGAAATTTTAGAACAAGTTTTAGATAAAGTCGAACAATACAAGAAAATAAAAGTATCGAGCAAGCGGAAATTTGAAAATATTGAAAATGACGGTCAATCTTCACAAAAGGATCTAATGTTAGTATTATTATTCGAATACGAAGCAAAAGTAAAATTGGGTCTTTGGGATAAATTACAGAGTGTGATTAATGTAAGTTAAGTCCTTCTTTTCTGTTTATTTTTAATAAAAATTATCGATTAACCCTATCGTAATAAAGACTACAGAGGCATTTGATTTTGAGATACCATCAAAAATATTCGAGCGGATGGTAGAATTGTTAATCAACGAGAGTGACTGTCCGAGTACAAGTAACATAATAATTTTAATAACAGATTGATTAATTGCTTCGAAGAGTAATAATTTAACATTAACTTTCTTTTCACTTACAGTTATAATTTCGACCTTACAGGTGATTATATTTTTTATATTTTTTAAAAGTGAACTAAGATGATCATATACTAAAGCAAATTATGTTAGATTCTTTTAAATTCTATAATGAAACATAAACAAGCTGATATTGAACAGTTTTCAAGATGGTTTCGAATGTTGATTATAACCGCAATGTTAAAAAACAAACAATCAGCTGCCCAGTACTACGTTCAAGTGCTCGATATACTAAATCAAGAATGTACCAAGGTACTAATTAAGATAATTTATTTGAAATTATATTAACTTCTTTTTAATCCGTATAGGGAAAATATCCACCAGATGAGATTCAATGGTTAATGGTCAATGCATGGAATTGTGGAATAGATTATTATTCGTAGGTGCTATACTAAGTTAAATTTTGTAATTTTTAATAAATTATATGGAATTGAAAAATGTCTTAAGCAGCGCTAATGATTTCGTGCAAGCAAAGAAATGGTGCGAGACAGCAATTAATTTTTGTCAATATATTAACAATGGAATGCTATACAAAGAAGAGGTAATAGTACTTTCGTTTTATATTTTTGTATTTTATTTTATTTTCGATTATCAAACATTGAAATATTATAATATACGTTAAAAGATGAGAAAATCTTATAATGAAATAATAAAGAATTACGATGCCAGTATTGTTGAAGTATAAACGAAAATAGTACAATAAAATATTATTGTTTTCATCTATTGGCAAAAATTATAATATCAGACCAAATTTAAAGTTAATAAAACAAACCTATAAAAATTGAATATTTATGATTTCCATGATATTTACAGAAGTTTAGTTTATTCATAAGTATATAATTATTTGTATAATGTAATACATTTAAAAATCTCCACTTTTCTTTTAAAATACAACAAATGCAAAATCTTGTTTTTAAATTATGTAATATGATTATTATTTATATTGGTAGTATGACAATTAAATCTGGTAAATCTTTTTTTTTTGTTGTCTGCAGCACATTTAATGATTTATTAAGATAAAATAAAGAAAAGTACATATAAATATACTAATAAGAACTTTTTTTTTTTTATTAATTTATTGTAGATGTGATCTTGTCTTAATATAACTACACTTACTATACTATAAGAACTATAATCCTATTCTAATAATTTAATAATCACTAAACTGTCTACTCATCATCTTAAGACTAAGACCCTATATATGCACTGTCAGTTGGAAATCCTGGCTAAAGGAGTAAGCTTTGTTTGAAACAAATCTTTCATAAAGAGAAACATCATAAAGTTTAACTAAATGGAGTCTTGGTATTTACTAAATAGAGTATTTAATAAGTATTAAAAGTTTACATTTATTAAATAATAAAAAAATAAATACTTAAATATTGCAATATTTTATTATTTATTATGATAAGTATTTAATTTATTAAGTATTTTTTTAATACTTTAAATTAACATTTATAAGCATTTTTTCAATACATCTTGTATTTAATAAATGCTATTTATGAATATTTAATAAATGCTTTGATAAATATTATAATTAACTCCTCCTTCCAATCTACATCTGTAATTATTTTAAAAACTTACTATAATTGCAAAATAAAATCCAGAACCAAAAAAAAGAAAATAAGAGGAGTTTAATAACAAATTCTGGGTAAAATAATTATAAAAAAAAAAGTGGTTAATAATAATCAAGTATAAAGTAACTACTATATGAAACTTAGTTATACTGTAATATAAAAATTGCCATAATGCTATAATTATTTAATATTAGAAATACAAAAATTGCATAAAGTCAGTAAGTAAATATTTTTTTCTGATTATGTCATAGATGATTTCTAATCCATAAATTTATAATACTGGTTTGATAATTTGTTAAATATTTAAATTGTAAAATCCAAATTTTGTAATGCCATAATTTCAATTTGGCAATTCTGATGGTACTTATAGTTCTATTTACTTTGCCTATAAGTTTACCTAGTCCTCCCATTAGTTAGCAAGTCTTTTTAGTGATGATCTAATTTCACTAAAATACTAGTTAGCTTGTTAGTACTATTAATGCCTTTTTATTTGTTATTGAGTTTGTTCTTTCTAAAAAACTTTTTCTCATACTTCTTATTATTGAATTATTTTTCTATAAAGTTATATGATCTATATCTTAGTTCTGCTTCTGAATGTGACTATTTTTTGGTGATCAATTGCAACTTTTCAATAAATTTAAAAAGAAGTACTATGTTCAAAATTCAAATAATCATTAAGCTGAATGTGTAGTCTAAGGTTGCTTGCCGAAACCTAGGGGTTTAGGCAAGATGGCGTTTCGCTGAAAAGCGAAATTCTGCTGAAACTATATTAAAGTTATATTAAAAAACTGGCGAAACTTTAGAGAAAGACGAAACTGCCGAAACTTATTATAAATGCTGAAACTGCTGAAATTCTGCCAAAACTATAATAAATCTATAGTAAAATTTTGACGAAACTAATCGTAGGATTTTGAAGAGATTTAGACAAGCAACCTTAGTGTAGTCACTATATGCTTTTACCAGAACCCAAAATATTTTTCATACAATTCAAAGATAATGTATAGTAAAATGCATTTTTAGCAATAACTCTGTCATTGGGCTGGATGTGTCATCACCTATGGCTTCTCCACTTCGGCCATAGGTCTTGCAGTACTTACATTTCTCTTTTGTGAGTTACGAACCAATTTCAATACTCCATATCTGTTCCACTATCACCAAAAAGACAGTACAGAATAATGGAACTAAAGGACAGATGGTCACAACACTTCAGCAAGTACCATCCCTAAGACACTTACCCTGATCTCTCAAATAAGTCCATCTATGCTAAAGCTGATTATTTCCTAATTCCGAAAATAATTTCAGCCAGAATTTTGTTTCCAAAACTAATTCCAAAATCCCGAAATTCTTCCGAAATCCCAAAATCTTTCCGAAACTCCTGAAATTGTCTGAAACTTCTGATTGGCCTATTATAAAATCACATGACTTTATAAATTTGCTAAAATTTTATCTGTATTCTAACTGGCTTTGTAGCGATCTTCCTGACACATGGTCGTCGGGCTGGATGTGGGAGGTGCAAGCACCACCCACCTCCAGGTCTACGACCCGTCGCAGTACCTCCTTCCCCCCTACGGGGGATCAGGAATCCCCTATATCTGTCACCATCTGTCAATAACATCAGTCATATAACAATATACTAAAAAAGGATAAAATAAGGGAAAAGAGAGGAAAATACGATAGAATCAGAGGGGTATGACAGATATGACGGATATGACAGATGTTTCAGAAAAATCGGGAGAGGGTATCCCCAGAAAAAAGTTTTGATTTTACCCCCCCAGATC